TATATGAATATATACATAATAAACTTTTTAATAAAATTTTAATATCGCGCTTTTAAAAGAAAAAACTAAAAACGTACATAAAAATAATTTTGTATTATTATTAGTCTTATGCGAGTGGCAGTATTAACAAACAAATAATGTAATTGATAATGATAATGATGACGACGATGAAGATGATGATAATGATGATGAAAATGATAATAATAATAATAATAATAATAATCACAAATGAGCTAAAACGTCACTTTCAACGGAATGGTCTCTATTTGGCGTTGCGTTATTATTATCAGACACAGTAACTATCGTAACTAAATTAACATTATCAGATTTTGTATCATCCGATGACGTTGTCGGTGACCTTTTACCCTTGTTCAAAAGCATTCGAAGAGGAGGAATGGGCACTTCTTCGTTAACTCCTAATTTTATACTGTCTATTTGTAAATCCGTATCGCCCCGATGCAAATCAACAGGATTACCTTTAAAAAAAAAACAAGGAAATATATGGTGATAGTGATGATAATGATGATGATGATGATGATTGCATTGGGATTTTGAACGTTTCCGGATATTATAAAAATCAAAATAATATATTTACCGACGACGCTAATGACGTTAACAACAGCCTGAGATACATTTCCGTTTTGATCGCTCACATGGCTTAATAATGATGAATTCCTACTGTGATTAACTGAACTTAATGGTTCCCCGTTCGGATCTAATGTTGGCCTTGTCGAACTCGTACGACTTCGGTAACTTGGAGGATGACTATATTCAGATTGTGGCAAACTTCTGCAAAATGCCGGAGCCCTTAAAAATAATTTTTTTTTTTTTTATAGAAGTAAAATCATTTTTCAAAACGTTTTTTTATTTATTTTTGGTACCTCAACCCTAACGTGCTTCCTGCTTGAGATCTATAAGTTGGAGGTGGCGACATCGTTGCTTGCAATCCATTTCCGGTATCGTTTGGCCTTTCCAATAATAATAATCTTAATCTATATTCTTGCATGCTGGCCTGATATGACGGAGGAGGTGGCCTGTATTGAAATTCCGGATACATCATCGCTGCAATATTAATAATAATAATACAATTTTATTTATTAACCAGTTCATATTTTAATAATAATAATAATAAATAAAATGTTTACGCACCAGCATAGGGATGATGCGGCCTTCCGTAACTTGGTGGCATTCTCGGAACGAATCTTTGATTCGGTTCGTTTGACGAATCGTCACCGCCACCCAAACCGAGCATGGATCGACACGAAGAAGCATCCTGTGACGTTAAACGCCACGCCACAACGCTAACAGTTACAAGAACGATACCAACACCTGAAAAATAAATCAAAAATTATTAATTATTATTATCATTATGAATATACGTGGCAGTAATAAGAAAATAAATACGTTTCGCAATATTATAATTTCACAAATATTAATTCTTTTTATTTTGCAATAGTTGGTAGTAACGCTTTTAACAGAGAGAAAGAGAAAGAGAGAGAGGGGGGAGAGGAAAAGGTAAAAGCATTAAATAATAAAAATAATTTTAATAGAAAAAAAAAATGGATTTAATAATAATAATAATAGGAAATTATTATTTTTAATCAATTTTTTCGTGTTTGTACGCACGCACGCACGCACGCACACGCACGGAAAAAAAATACACGTAACGGTTTTTTTTTTTTTGAAAATAATAAAAGTTCCGAAAGAATAAAATTCAATATTTTTTGCATTATACATATACTTATATTGTATATAATTTTTTTTTTATTTTCAATTTTCACAACCGTGAAATTTTTGATGTAAAATATTTTCACTAAACATCCGTTAAATAATTTTCTTTTTTTTCTCTTTCAGGAGCCATTAACTCCATAAAAAAAAGAAAAAAAATTCATGAATTATTACAAAAGCCGAATATTTTAAATTTTTTTTTTTTTCATACAACAAACCAGAATAAATTAACTATTAAAAAAAGAAAAAAAAAGAAAAACTTTTTATTTTCCCTGAGTTTTTTATTTTGTCATAAAAAAAAAAGAAAGAAAGAAAAACATTTTTTTTATTTTTATTTTTTTTGAAGCACATTAAAGAATGATAATAATAATAATAATGAGGAAAACTTAGTTAAAAGTCATATATAAAAAAAAAATATTATTAATAATAATAATCATTATCATCATAACCCTTAATTTTTCTTTCTGCAGAGATTTAAGTTTGAAAAAAATAATACACGTGGTAGCAGAAAACTTTGTTTATTTTAATAAACTTAATTTTTTTTCTTTATCTTCTGCTATTTTCTTTTTTTTTTTTTTATGGGAAATCGATTTTGAAAATTTTCTTTCTTTTTCTTTTTTCTTTTTAAACGACATCAAATTAATTTCGACGTATTTTCTTTTTCTTATTTTTTATCCATCCTTTTTTTCCTTTTTTTTCTTTTTTTCCTTTGAAACTCCTTTAAAAAAATTAAAAATTAATCCAATTTATAAAACAATAAAAAAATTTTTTTTAAATGTTTTTTTCAGACAAATATTTCAATTTTTTTTTAAAAAATAAAAGTCGTCGTAAAAATTTTCTTTTTTTTTCAAACAAAAATATAATTAAGTGTAATAATCGTTATGTTGGCAACAATATTGCCGGCATAAGATAAAATAAAATGGCGAAATTGACTTTTTTTATTATTATTATTTTTATTCGTTTTATTTTTAAAAATCGAACGGGAAAAACGTTAAAATTATTTTAAATAATCGATTTTTGCCGCCATTTTTCAAATGTTTAGCAAACAAAAAAAGATGGCATCCGATTATACAATTAGAAATATTTAATTATTAATTAATTGATAATAATAATAATGATTTTCTCTTTTATCAATACTAATAATATAAAAGTATCGATTACAAATTAAAAATAAATAAAATCTACTTTTAAGTTTATATTACTCGCGTATGTTTAACTTATGTGAAAGCATTTAACACTCGTTTCCAGTTTTTTTTTTCGTCATGTGAAATTTAACCAAAAAAAAAAAAAATTCGAAAGAGAATTTAAATTAAAAACCAAAGAAAGTCAAATTTTTTTTTTTTAATTCGAGCTAACTAAAAACAACAACCGCAACGTCAGTGACTACAACAACAACAACCACACGAATCGTTTAATATTTAACTAATCGTAGACAAACCGTTTTATTTATTTATTTATTTTTTAATGTAAATTTATTTACGTCGTTTCGTGTGTAAAAAATATACAAAATACGTTTTTTTTCGCGAACCGAGTTTTAATAATAATAATAATAATAATAATAATAATAATAATAATAATAATAATAATAAATAAAATAAATTTTCACCGTTTGCGTGAAAAGTCGTAACTCCCAAGTGAAAGACTTTTTAAAAAGTAATAATAATAATAATAAAACTTTATGAAAGCAAACGTAAATCTTTCTTTCTTTTTTTTTCATTCTCAGTTGGTTTTTTGGTTTTTTTTTTTAATATAAATAAATATTATTATCATTATCATCATCGTCGTCGTTGTAGTGAAAAATAAAATTTTTTTTCTTTTTTTTAATATTTAAATTCGTATAACGTATAGAAAAAAAATGCCAAAAGATTTTCCTCGTCCTTTTTTCGCTTATAATCATCATCATCATCATTATTATCATCATTATTATTATTATTTTAATTAATTTAATATAATCTCGGAGAAGAGAATTTTTTTTTTCCTTTTTATTTATTTATTTAAAATCTTTTCCATTAATCAGATTAAAATATTAAAAAAAAGGTGGCCGTGGCGGACGATGAGAGAACGACGACGACGTCGAAAATACTCAAACCACGAACTAAACATAAATGAAGATGAATATAACGATTAAAAAAAAAAAAAAAAAAAAAACTCGATCTTCTGCTGCCACGTTCGCCGACCGTGCCCATTAAAAACGTTTTTATTATCGTTTTCGTGCGCGTGTGCGTGTATATACTACTACGTGCCCTTGTTATATTATACATTTAAGATGAAGATAAAAAAAAAAAAAATAGTTTTCCTTTGACACACAAAAAATAATAATAATAATAACAAATCCGATAAAAATTTATTATTATTATTATTCGGTGCGATAAAAAAAGAAAATTTTGTACGTTGAAAAAAAAGGAGTAGGAAGAGAAGGGGAGAAAAGGGGGAAAGGGGGAAAGAAGGATTTGAAATTTTTTTTTTTTTTACTTACCTATCATTAAAAGCGATACTGTTAAATGTTCTCTACCGCTTGCTTTCATGGCTCCTAAAACTGTACCAACAATCACGCAACAAATTCCAACAAACGATATCATAACAATAAACCAACGAATTGAAACTGTTTGCGTAACGACAACCCCGCAACACGATTTCGGCGTTTCTTCTTCATGTGCAAACATTTGACCCTGAGACCTGAAAACAAATCAATTTATTATTATTAACTATTATACCGGAAGTGTTGGTATATCCGTTTAGAAATTTATTTTAAAAAATTATGGATACCCCCACGACGACAACAAACAACAAACAATAAAATTTATCACGAAATGGGGCGTTTGCCACGTGGTATCGATTAAATTTTTTTTTTTCTTAATTTCCGTCCGTGGGGCCCCATTTTTTGACATTTGCTGAAAAGAAAAAAATAAAGAAACTTTTTCTTTTTTTTTAATACGTTGATAATAATAATAATAATAAGGTTTCGTGACGTCAAACATTAAAAAAAAAAAATTATTAATTGGCTACGCGTGTAAATTCGTAAAAAAAAAAAAATTCATTTCAACATTTTTTGTTTTTGTTGTTTTGTTTGTTAAACCTTAACAAAACAATCAATAGAAAAAACAAAAACATAAAACATAAAACTTTTGAAAAACATGAACTTTGTGTTTTTATCTTTTTTCTTGTTTTTTGAAATCTAACAAAGGAAAAAATGAATCAATATAAAATCCTTTGACTTTACATAATAAAATTAAAAAAATTTCACGTAATCGATTTTTTTTTTTTGCTATTCATCTTTTTTCATTCAATATTATTTGTTGACGATAGCAAATGCAATCGTTTCAAAAAAAAAGATTAACGACAGCAAATATTATTTACAAACTCGACAATCGTAATAATAATAATAATAATAATATCATAATAAAATTAAGATTCTTTTGGTTAAATAAATCTCTATGGTAGTTCGAAACAAAAAGTAATAATAATGATGATGATGAAAAGTAGAAAAAATATTAAAAAAAAAAAAAAAGAAAAGTAGAACGCCATTTCGATCCTTTCATTTATATAATTCTCGAACGATATCTCGAACGATCACCCAATTAATTTAAAAATCAATTAAATCCACAACTGGAAACTTTTCTGTTTTTATCCAACGCAATAATAATTAATTAATTAATTAAAAAAATAATAATTATTATTATTATTATTTTGTTTCATTTTAAATTAATAATTTATTTAATTATGTAATTATTACGAGTAAAAAAAACAATAACAATAATATTAATTTATTTATATTAATAATAATAATAATAATAATAATATTTTGAAACTTATTAAAACTATTCCATTGAAGAGAAAAAAAAAAAGTTGAGGAATTTTTTTTTTAATGCAATTAAAAATATGCAACAAAGGTTGCGATTTCAGATTGATCAAAATAGGTATAAAGGTACGAGAGAGAGAGAGAGAAAGAGGCGGTGTATTGTTTTGCGTGGGTTAATTACAAACGAGGAGGTCACATAGGCCAATAAAAAAAATTAAATCTACGATAAAAAAAAAGAAAAAAAATTACGGCATTTTGATTTGATCTGAACGTTTCAGGTATGTGTTTTATTTGGTATGTTACTTAACGAACGGCCCCCCACCTTTTTTTTTTTTTTTAAATTCAGGTAGATTGTAAAAGTTAAAATGACTCATCGCATTTTTTTTTTTTTAAATTTCAAATGCATTTACACCGAATACATTTGAAAAGTAAAAATTACATGATTCGTTTTTAAGGAATGTTGCTGGGAATTATTATTAAATTTTGATTTTCCTAACGTTTTCCCTCCTCCTCTCTCCTCCCCCTACCCGCCCTTTTCTCCATTTTTATATAATAATAATAATAATAATAATAATAATAATTGGACAAAAAACTACATTAAAATAATTCCTGTGCTATCATCATCATCTGCCTATTTTTTTTTTTTTTAATAATAAATGAATCGAGTAAAATTATTATTTGTGCGAATTTTGTTTTTGGTGTTTGTTGTGACGAATAATGTCTGTTTTTTGTTTGTTTGTTACAACAAACGACGTCGGATAAAAAAAAATGAATTACTTAAATTAAATTTAATTTTTTGTCGATACGTAAAAAATAATTTTTTTTTTTTTTTTTAATATTTTAACGGTGGAGCAAAAGAAAAAGAAATTTATTAATTATAAAACGAACAAACAAACAAACAAACGAATAAATTTTCTATAAATTTGAGTTTTCTAAAAAAAATTTAAAATTTAAAATGGCGCCCTTGAACATTCACCATGATGATGATGATCTTAAATTCCAGTAAAAAAAAAAAATTGAATAAAGAAATGCTTTTAAATTTAAAACATATCAATCAATCAGTCAATCAATCATTCAATCATAATTTTATGACGTGAATCGTATTTTCCTTTTTTTCCATCCACATAAATCGGAATAAATTTTTTTTTAATAACATCGTTGTTACATAACTAAATAATCGATAAATCGATATTCCATCGATGATTGTTATCGACTTTTCGATTTAATAATAATAATAATAATAATAATAATAACAAATTCCTGATCCGAATCATTGCCACAAACAAACAAACGCACACACGGGGTGAATTCAATTTGATATTCGTTTTTTTTTTCTTCTCTGGTTATATATATAAAAAATCTTATTAAGAAGATTTAATAATTTAACAAATGCATGTGTCACTTGATTAAAAAAAAGGAAAAAAATATCACACGTAAGGGTCATCAGGGGTTGAACGTTAAGAAACGTTTTTTTTTTTCCTACCCTCTAACATTTATTCAGAAGAAGCATAACGAGATCTCGAGAGAATATTTTTTACGCTTACAAACAAAATGCATTTAAAAAAAAAAAAAGGAAGGAAAGAAAAAAGGAAAAAAAAGGTTTTTAATAGGAAAACTTCTACGGAGTGTTTATCATCATTATTATTATTATTATTATTATTATTATTATTATTATTATTATCATTATCATTATCATCATCATAATTAAATATTCATTATTTACATTAAATTCTACAGTTTGCCACTTTTTTTTTTTTTTTTTTACAAAATTAAAAAAAAAAAAAAATTTCCCTCTCGTTAAAAACAAGTTACTCCTTCCCCCCCCTCGTTTTATTTTTTTTTTCCGGCAAACGATATCGCATTGCAAATTTCCGTTTGACCTTTAACCTTTGTGTTTTTTCTCTTTTAAAATCTCCTTTTTTCTTTTCTCTCAACTTAATAACAATCGAATAAAAATAAAAAAATCTCGTTTAATATATATTTTTCCCACATAAAAAAAACTCGAACAAAATTAATTTTTGCGTCGAATAATAATAATAATAATAATAATAATGAAGGGAATATCATAAATTAGACAATCGAACAACCGAACAACCGACCGATCGACCGGATATTCAACAACAACCTCTTTTTTTTTTTTTTTTTTTTATTACTACTGGTATCGTAGTAGGTGTTAATCATTAAATTTTTTCCTTTTTTTTTCTTATCAGAAAGTGATAATTAAATTTTTTTTTTTTTTTACTCAACGTATGAGAAAATAAATAAATTTATAATAATATAAAATTTCAAAATTCAATTCAGAAAGAAAAAAAAATCGAGACCGGTAGTAGAATAAAAATCGTTTTTCTAGAATTTTTTTCTTCTTTTCAAGGTCATTTTACTTTAACAACTTTCACGTTTAAAAAAAAAACCATTTCGAGACGACGTGGTGGTAAATACCGTAATTTTTTTCTATTCTATTCTCTAGAACGTTCGAAATTTAAAATTAATAAAATTAAAAGGAAGAAAATAAAAAGACGGGACGAGACAAAAAAAAATGCGGGGAGGTGGGGAGAAAGGGGAGGAAAACTTTCCCTTTTCCATTTGCGGTCATTTTTTATTGAAAAGAAAAAAAATTTCACCGAGTTATTAAAGGTCCTTAGGTTAGATTACATCTTCAAGCGTAAATTAAAAACAAAAAAACAAAAGAAAAAAAAGAGAAATTAATACCAACTTTATAAAATAATAATAATAAATAATAATAATAATAGTAATAATAATAATAGACGCCCACTTTTGCGCAAAACTTTTTTTTTCGGTCGTAAGGTAAGGTAAGTATTCGCGATGAAACAAACAAAAATTTATTTTTTTTTATTTTATTTATACAAAAACCGGAAATTAATAATAATAATAATAGTAATTTTATTGCGTTATCGTAAATTATGATAAGCGACTTATTGATAATACCAGATAATGTGAGAGAAGAAAAAAATTCAAAATGAAATCGACATCTTTCTCATCCATTTGTCAAGATAAAAAAAAAAAAAAATTTCCATTTTACGATTTAGGTACAGTTAAATTTAAGCCTGAAAAAAAAAATAACAGGAAAAATACGAGCGAGCCCATGATGAAGAATTAATCTTTTAAACTTTAACAGTAAAAAAAAAAAAAGAGTACACGTCACGCCTAAATGTGCACCAACCAAAGAAAATAAAAAAAAAAAAAAATATTTTTCGACGACTTATAAATAATAATAATAATAAAGATAAATTTTTTTTTCCTTTTTGAATTATAGCAAAATCAAAAGGTCACACATACAAACTATATAAATTTATTTCCCAAGATACGAAATATTTAGAAAACGGAAATTTAAAAAAAAAAAAAATTTATTATTATTATTATTATTATCATCATTATAACCGCTTTTACTTTTTGTTTTTTGTTTTCGTTCGACATTGTCGACGTATTCGTCGTATATTTCAACACAAAAAATGTCGCATATATTGTTCAACGAATTTAAATATGGCGACAAAAAAAAAAAAAAACGAAAGGAAAAATTTTTTTAATTTAAAAAAAAGGAAAAAGTTAAATTTTTTTTTTTGCTAAAAAAAAAAAAATAAATAAATTATGAAGCAACCCCTTTTGCGGTTGCGTCGGTTTTTTTTTCTCTAACCACAGGGGTGACATTATTCACCCTTAAACGTATTTAACCCTTAACTAATATAAATTTTAATAATAATTATATATACGTACAAGTTCGTAATTTTTTTTTTTGTTATGCATTTTTTTTTTTAATTTTGTTCGGTTGGCATTAATGTAATAAAACAAGAAAAAGAAAGAAAAAGAAACAAACAGCCTTGCCGATGGCAATGTCCGACCGCAACATTTATTTATTTATTTTTTTAAATAATAGCAAAAAAAAAATTAGGCGGTAAAATGGTGGCAATCGTATTTATATATATATATATATATATGAGAGTACAAACGAAACGTTGAAATTAAACGTGGGAAGTCCGCCGCCGCCACCACCACTACCCGACCCCCTCCCGTTTGTTGTCAGTCGGTTGTTTAGTTTTGTCCGTTGTTGGTCTTTCTAAACTCGACCTTCATTTCATTTATAAAAATGTTTAATATCATAAATTCAAATCCACCGTTACTTTTTGCAACTTTCGCAAATAAAAAATTTTTTTTTTTCTTTCTTGCTAAACGTATGTAAAACTCGTCGTTATATTCACTCATTCGAACGGTTGTTGTTGTTGTTGTTGTTAAACAAACAGTGGGAGTCGGTAAAAAAAAATTTTAATTTTAATTTTTTTTTTTTTTTTAATTAAACTTAAAAACTGTGAATACGAATTTAAAAAAATGAAAAACATTCGAAAACGTTGGTGGGTTCCTGTCTACGTTATAGTAAAATATAGACTATACGTATATAGCATTTTAAAAAAAAACTTTTTTTTGTTTTGTTTTTTCGGTGACCTTTTGCCTTTAAACTTTT